GAAAGAGAAACAGTCAGAAATAATTCTACACTCATTTTATCTTTAAAATGGCCAATGAAGAGCTAAAATTGTGTTCCCTTTTCTGTTCATGTACACAGAGGGTGCCAAATATTAGTGAAAAAAGGATTGGGTCTGGACCCGACCGGGTCCGGGTCTGAGAATTTAGCTTTTCCCGGGTCCGGGTCTAAAAAAACATGGACCCGCAGCTCTCTACCGACGATTATTCTATATTTGTTCGTTTAATATTATGATATATACACATATCTTCATAGTACTGATGATTTCTTGTGCTTAATATCAAATTCGATCAGCTAGATGTGAATATTTAAAGTTCTGAAATCTAACTTGAGTGATAATTATAATGATCGGAAAATATCTTTTATTTATCCGTCTGATACAAATCTTTGTTTACCTGTATCAATACTTCGTTCACAAAGAACATCATAATATTGTAAAATAAGTAATTGTTTATGTACAATATATCGTCCAATAAGATCAATAGCTGCTTCTCGAACACTAACACTTTTATCAGTTAAACCAACTTTAACACATGATTTAATATCATTTCTTCCTAATATTGTTGGATCAGCTTCAACAACTGTACATAGACATTTCATTGCTTTACTTCGTATATTTGTTCCTGCTTCAGATTGAAATACAGCAGCTAATTGTTTAAGATAAACATCAAATGTTTTTAAAAATGGTCGATTTGATGTTAAATATCGCATTAATAAACAAATATCATCATAATCAATATCTAATGTATATCGTTGTTGTTTACGTATTGTTATCGGTAATGTAAGCATTTTAAGTATAGTAAGTTTTTCACTTTTTTTAAATTCAATTTCATCATCAACTGTTATAGTTGGATTCGAAGGATTATTATTATCTATTGATTCATCTGTATCAACATCGACTAATTCAGCATGATTTGAAGGTTTAACTCGTCTTGTTAATGTTTGATTTAAACGTTCAATTGTTAAATTAATATCACGAAGCCATTGACCAATATGAAACATTTTTGCAAACTAAAAATAAAACAAAAATTATTTTTATTTATTTTATTGATAAAATTATTTTACAACAAAACAAATGAAACGATTAATTTCATAAAATCTATACAATTTAATAATATATTTTTTGTTACATTTGATTTTGTCAAGAAAAGAAGTTTTCAATAGGGCCAAACGTTTCTAAATGTGTAATCACTTTTAAGTCTGGACTAATCGTTTATTACTGCTGAGACAATGTGGTTTTTAATAGAATGTCGCTATCCTCTCACGATAATTGACTTCCGAATTTCGAACTCAAACTTTACATACCGACAAGTCTTAACAAGAATAACTTATTGTGAAAATTTCAGATTTTTAGATTAGATTCATTTAAAAACAAGAACATCGTAATTGGTCTTTGTGCATGAGCAGAATGAAAAATATGCTTTTATCATAGCCGTGTCTTAGAACATAAATAATCAAAAGATCTGGAACTTTCACAATGAGCTATTCTCATTAAGATCTGTTGCTGTGCCACGTTTCATTTCAAAATTCAGCGTTCCTGAGAAGACTACGGCATTTTACAAAAAGATACAATATCTCAGAAGCACTAAGCTATTAACCTGATCCTTTTTTACGGAATTCATAATACATTAGAACTAATACGTTGCACATAGTTCCGACTCATAAGTGATTGGATCTTTAGGAATGCTCCCTTATTACCCATTTGTATAGCCCAACATCATTGAGTCCGGACGCGGTTGATCAAACTCTTTTTCCAGGATTTTATATTCAGTTATTAGCGCATTAGCAAAAGCTTTTTACGAAGCAAATATTTTTATTGATATCAACTTAATCTTTGATGTGAGCATAAAAGTTTTATCCAAATTGGAATATCATCGAAAAGAAATTCAACTAAATCCCTATGGACACAAATCATTTTAGACTTTTTCGAGTGTAAATTACTCTTATATAACATAGTAAGACTTATTACACAAAATGCTTTATTACTTGGCATGATTCTCTCGTTAGTAGGAGAATACCAGCACCTCTTACCCGATCAGACTGATCGTCCTAAAAATCTATATTAGTTCCAACTGATAAAAGTTCAAAACTTGAACATGACGAAAACACAAAAAAAGCAAACTTAGCTAAAGTAAAGTTTTACAGTTTACTTACGTGACCAGTTGGTTCACTTTGACTTAATTCATTAAGATAAATAATTAAACTACGATGATGACGTAATGGATCAGTTTTATATACTTCTAAAATATCTTCATCTGTTTCAATACTTAATAAAGTCTATTTTGAAAGAAAAACAAAATATATAAAAAAACAATAAAAAAATATCAAGTTTAGTTTTTGTTTTTACTTTATGAATAACTTGATCAATTCTTTCTTGATTTTCTCTTGAATTTAAAACATCTATTTCAATAGTATCTTTTCTTAATTGTGCTGCAACTGATCCTAAATATTCTAATGATTGTAAACGTGTTTGTATTGGTAATGATTGATTAGAAAAATTTTTCATTAATATACGTGATAATAATGTTAAAAGAATTTCTGATGATGGCCATTCAGGTCGATTAGCTGTTGTAAGTAAATCAGCTAGAAAATTTTCAAATATTATTCGATAATCATCTTCACCTTGTTTTGTTCCACATGAACGAAAAAATAATGTTAAAAATTTATAAGCAATATTTTGTCCTATTGAATATGTATTTAATAAATTTAATTCATTTCCTGCATCTGTTATATTTGAATTTATTGTTTGTACAGGTGAATGTATTAAATGCATTATTAATGCTGTAAACATTTGTATTGATTCACCTGATGGTAAACGATAACAACGAAGACTTTTTTTACTTGTTGGTAAACGTACTATTGATAAAAGAATATCATCAAGAATAGAATCACGATGATCTTCATAACGTGAAAATAATTCAGGAAGAATAGTTATTGAATGAGCTTGTAAATCAAAGATATTTTCAACAAAAATACAACTAACAGTAAATGAAGAAATCTAAACAAATAAATAATACAGAATGTTAATATTCGCAAAAACAAGAGTTTTCGAATATAAACTAAATAAATGCGAAAACCTCGGATTTAAATCCGAGTGTTATGTGTACTTCAAAAAGTGAAAAGGTATATTCACTGTGTTTTTATCACTAAATTGCAAGGAGAAAGGCGTGCTAAGTTACCATGGACCATACTGTATGCGACCCTATCCGGTGACCACTGACTCTACTCTCAGAGTGATATAATAACTTTAGAAATCACAGGAATTGAGTTCAGATTCGTGTTTAACTTGGAAAACTGGGTAAGAAGAGTTATTTTTGAATGAATTTGCGTTTGTATCTACCAGGATTACGATCGTCAACAACCTCATCAATCTATAAGAGATATATAATAGATACACGCATCAGTATTTTCCTAATAGATCACAAATATTAATAGCTATCGAGTTAGGGTTTGTACCTTTCGATAGTCCTTTTGACTAGCTAGAAAATCAGGCATTTGGGAAACCTCAAAACTACTGGTCATCTGAGACACATCTAGGCAATTTGGTTTCTGGATGCAGTTTTTGTGCATTTTGAGACCTTTTTCAGGCGATGTTCTGTTAGAAGGCTACAATTTGGTTCAAAACTAATATCAGATTCGGAATCAGCGTTAAAAACTGAGTCGATTTATATATGTTGTGAAGAATTTTGAGAAAAATATTTTTTTTGAAAAAATCCCTGTACTCCCCCTCAGGGATGATCTTCTCAATAATGACAATTTTTTCGATAACTCAGCCATTTCTTGACGGATCCTGCTCATCTTCGAACTCGACCGAGACATTGTTAAGACTGAACTGTGTAGAAAATTTCATCGCGATTGGACTCTCCTTTCAAAAGTTATCGTGTTAACGGCCGGCCGGACGGACACACTGACCGATTCTAGTGCACTCACTTTTTGAGTACACAAAAACTAAAGAAGCGTTTTCAATCAGAATAGAATGAATGAATATGAATCATTCTATACTCGGCTCTAATTTAGCAAATTCTTTTTCTTAATCATCCTTTTTTTTCTAATGTAATACTAGGAGAGGTATAAGCCAATGCATCAATCGGCTTACGACCTTATACACTACTACCGATATACCGATAGTAGATTTCCAGTGAGAGAATAGCCGATTGTGTGAGTATCATACTACTGTTAGTATATATCAACGACTTTTTCTGTTCAGATTTATATGAAACTGACTTCTTATGGTTATTTTACTTTGCATTTAAAAAAAATCCTTGAGTTTTCTATATCAGCATTTCTTTCAATACATCAAAAAACAAATGCCATCAGCTGGTGAATTATTTGTCCCAAAATTTCAAGAGAAATAAAGGGACGCATTGAAGATCTTTAATTTTATCTCAATTAAATCTATGTAGAACTAAATAGAGTAATCCAAATAAAAATATTTTAACTCTCAGGTCCAACTCATAGACCGATTTTGAAGCGAGACTAAGCGCATTATGCAATCTCAATGAGTTATATATACGCTGAAACGAGTTTGCGTCCTTTGCTTACTGCTACAGAAAAATTGTATGTTTACGTTATTTTTTTCAAATCGATGTCGTGGTCCGGAAGAACTGATTTTCGAATATCGACTTTAAATTTTCTACAGAGACAAGCCTTGGTGAGAATAGTTTATTGTGAAAGTTTCTGATCTCTTAATTTGCTTCTCTTCTCAAATAGCAACATTATATATTCTGATTTATATAAGCAATGTAAAAGACACACTATTACCATAGTTGTACTTTATGATAGGAACAACGGCAAGACTTGAAATACCGCAAAAAAAATCGTTATCTTTCTAACACTAAGGTAAGAGCGCGAACTTTTTTCACAGTTCATTTGCATCTACATAGTCTTGATTCAAAAGTGATTTATCAGTTGAAGGACTTCCTTCTTCACACTGCAAAAGTTTCATTGAAATTAGAAGAACGGTTTCAAACTCCAGTCAAATATTTTCTACTTAACACGCTCTACTTTCAATACTACAAATGTATCTCAAACAGATTCTTTATGCCAAATACAGTATAGTAAATAATGAAAAAAGTATATATTAGTTTTGATTGCAATATGTATTCCAGCTGAAGTCATCTTTCTTTTTTTCTGAACTATCAATAATTAGAATTCGAACTTTTCCTTTAAATATCTTACTGCAAGAATAATTGTATCAGTAAATTTTCCTAATGGCATTAAATCTGCAATGCCTTGAAATAATGCAACAATTTTATTATAAAGTATTTGCACTTGTTTACATTTTGTTCCAGTTGTTTTTGATCGTTTTTGTTTTGTTAATAAAGGATCTTGAAAACAAAAAACATCCAAAGAAAATTTTCTCTTATTATTCAATTTAATATTAATCTTTTTTACCTTTTGATTGATTATCACTACGATAAAGTGGATCATATTCAGGAAAAATCGTTTTAGCTAATTGTGCTTTTATAAATAAAGCTGTATATTCAATAACATTTTCCACAAGAATTTCTTTCGGCATATTTGATGTTGTCATTATATTTAATGCTAATTCACATGCATTAGCACACATTGTTAAACGTTCAAATATTAAATCTCTCCATTCACGTTCATCTTCTTCAGTTTCTTTATGTTCATCATTAATATCATGTTTAAGTATAGGACTCATATCAATACCTTGTTTAATACGTAATGATAATATTTCTAATAAACGTTTTAATTTAAATAAATCAATACATGACATATATGTTGAAAGTTTTAATTTTTCTGATAATGTTGACATTTCATTTAATGTATGTTCAGATAATAATAAATCAAGATAATATTCATCATCTGTTTCATTCATTTCATCATGATGACGTTCATAATCATCATTAAATATATCTAATAATTTAACAAATTGTTGATAGGATGCATTTTCATGTGGATTTTCATCTATATCTAATGCTTTATGTGCTAAACGATCACGAGTTTTTTTCTTAAATGCATCCATAGCATCAAATGAATTATTATTAGTATTATTCGAAATATGTTCAAGTGTTAAACCAACACGACGTATACGTTTCTTTGATGATTGATAGTCATCATTATCATCATCATCATTATCGTCAAAATCATAATTTTTTTCATCAGGCGATGGATTTCGATGGCGTTTTTTTTTTGGTGAAGGATTTAATGATGTTGTACTACTATTATTAGAACGACGTTGTCGATTTTGACGATGATTACTTTCTTGTGATAATTCTTTTACTAAATCAGGTGTTAGATCGGCAGGAAAAAGATCTAAAGAATGAGAAAGTATTTTTTGTATATCTTTTCAACAAATTAGTTAAGACAGTTCGACTTAAAAAATATGTTTTTAAACTTTTCATCGCTTAAAAAAGAAATTGCTCTGTCTACTCCTGACCTCTTTTTCAAGAAACCCAGCAATGTTCACGCACTAAAAGAATTGACTGGTAGTTATTTTATTTTGGGAATCATGAAACTATAGGAAAACTTATGAAGAATTCATATTTCTCACTTTTTGGCACCTTTGAACTCTTCGAATATTAGATAAAGCATCAGGGAAAAAAAGTTAAGTCGTATGTCTGTTGAACGTGTTCTATCGGGAACTAATTACAATTATTCGATAGTCTTTTATATATGAGAAAAACTTTAAATACTTGAAATCTTTTTAAACTCATACCTGGATCATCAAATTGTAGTTTTTGAAGAATAATCCGAGGTGTATCAAGCATTTCTTCGTTTTGCGCAACCCAATCTGAATTAAGTAAGATAGGACGAATAAGTTTGATTTATATGTGATTATATCTTTTTTTCTACATACCTAAGTTTTTCTTCGTATTTTTACTGGTCATTAATAGTGAACTTTTCCCGGTAAGTTCGTGTGATTGATCCACCTATAGAAGTAAAATGAAAATAAAGAAAAGTCATAAGTTTCATGTCAATGAATCAAATTGTGAAACGTGCAGATGGTCAAAATATATGATTTAGTACGGGACCGAGCTTATCAAACATCTTCGCAAAAGAATCGTAAGTATTAAGAGCATAACTTGAGGAACATCAACTTCCTTTGGATGGAGTTTACGAGGTGATAAATACCATCGAAATGTTTAAGTTTCGAGATTATTTAAAATGATTTCAAGATTTTTATCTAGTATTGACAAAAAAAAAATTCTCGATGAAATTATTCGTTGTGTTGAGCTAATGAGAGAACTGTTTCTAATGATACTTAATGTTGAAATTTCCAAGAAGTTTCAATGTTCGGAGAAAGAAACGTTCGCCTTGGCCAAGATATTTAACTTTCTAAACGAGTCCTAAGACCTTTACTTAAGAAGAACGATTCATAGACCCTTATTTTTTTTTTCTAGTTTCACTGAGCTTTATTTATAGTCAAAATATCAGCATCATAGACTTGAAGCATTTCCCTCATAAGTATAATCTATTTGAATAATATAAGATTAATATCAAGTAATTAATTTTATTCAAACCTTTTTCTGATTTGATGATTTGTGTGGTGAATTCGATGGTGATGATCGTGTTTGACTATGAGATAACATTGAAGATGACTCATCATTTTCTGTTGGTGATGGTAGAAAACCCCAAGTAGCAGCTAAAAATTGAAATCGAATAAATTATTGTTTTTTGCTCATTAAAATAATTACCTAATGGACTAAGTTGTTCTTGTTCCTCAACATCATGATTACCATTCGGTGAACTTTTATAATGATTATGATTGTTAGTTGATGATCTAAATAGAACTAATTGTTTTATTACGAAAGAAAATTCTTTAAACTGAATAAATATTTTTCTCTATATCAAAACTCTTCTTTGATATATATACATATGTTCAATTTCTATATGCCTGTCAAAAAAAAATCATATATACATTGATACGTTTGTATTTGCTACAATTGAAAGTTTATTTGCAAGTTTTTGTGCTAATGGACCATCACGACGATTAAGTAACGAAGAGGTATTTTCACTTGTATTATTATTATCAACCGTACGTTCCATACTTGTATTAGTTAATGATGTTGCAGACGTTTTATGTCCTACGATATTAAGTTAAAACATATATTTTTGTTGGTATATTTTTAATAATTACAAACCATCGTTTAATGATGTTGATGCCAGTAAATTAACTTTTGATGTATCCATGAATAGTTTCTGCCTGTTTGATTAGATGATATTATAAGAACAAAGGAAAATAAGATTGAACTAAGATAAATGGTTGAACCCAAACGGACACGCAAGACGAAAAAAAAGAACGAATCGCTGTGTGTTATTATTCTTTCTTTCTCCTTCTTTTTTTTTTTGTTGTGATCATGTACAATAAAATGACCAATAGAAGACACTGAACATTCGAGAATTGAAAAAAAAAATTGAACTGCCCTCTTGCGACATCATTTTATTTCCGGTTATGATTTTCGATGATTAATAAAGATGAATGAAAAATAAGTTCAAAATGAATCCTTGATTAATTTTAACAAAACTTGAATCAGAATATCGAACTTTAAATGTGTTAAAAGTCATTTTGTGATGACAAGTGATCGGAAAGTTTGGATGTTTGTTTATTTTTGATTTACTAGAAAATATTTCCGGCAAGTTAAAAGCTATGATTTTAGGCTCTTTTTGAATATAACCTTAGAAAATTTATCTCAGATTTTTTTTCTTCAAGGTTGTAAAATAAGTTTGGAAGGAATTGTTTTTAATTATTATTATTAAGATTTGAAATTAAAAGCACGAGGCTTTCGGTAATTTTTTTTTCTTCTAATGAGAAAACGTTTTTAACTGATTAATTCGTTTTTGAAATCGAACTGCGTACATATGGAAAATTTTATTAGGCCTTCTGCCCAGAGTTATAATAGATAGGTCTATTTATCAATAAAAATCTATCAAAATTTCACCTCAAAATAATATTTTCCTCCTGAGATATTAGAATCCTGAAAAAAAGAAAATTCTACCATCTTTCATAGAATATGGGTAATTTTTGGGATTTTAATATCTCTGGGAAGGGAACATTCCATTGTACTGAAGTTTTCAGAGTATTCTACTGAGAAATAGACCTGGTTGTAAGCGAAATCTCAGATCGAAATATCGTCATTCGATTTGTTGGTATATACCATGACACAAGCTAAAATTCTAATAGAATACCTATTTTCATGTTTTTCACCCAGTCCAAATTCAAAATCGATTGATCAACTGAGAATATTCGCTCATAAGAGTAAGCGTCTCGGTTTGAATATCTTTCAAAGAAAAAAAAACAGATCTAAAACTCCCTTTCTGTCATGATTTCACATGAAACTCGAACTAATTTTTCAGAAAGTTCTATATGTTTAGAAGTTGAAAGCTCTCTCCATCGTCTTCATAATCAGTAACCTTGCGTTTGGCTCGCCAGTGCAATGTGTTGTTTACACACTGTCGTAGCTTCTGAAATAACACTTATACATTCAAACTTCTTAAAGTCTATTATTATTATTATTCCCTTGTAAATTTATCAATAGAATGCGTAAATATTTATGTTGATTGAATCTATTGAGCCATAGTATAAAAAAAAAACGAAAACAATACAAGATTATTTTTTTGAAATCTCATATTCAATTAATAAAACAAAAACAAATGATACATTTATTTTGTCTATGGTTTTTTATTTTCATAATTGTTTTTTTTTCAATGATAATTAACTAACTAAGTGGTCCGACATCACTATTCGTAGTGACAATATATGTCCGTCGAGGTAAACGATAAACAACGGCACTTGATGATCGTTCACTTTTATTTTCTACTGAGCAGCTGGTAGTTCGAAGTTCAATGTGATCTTGTGAAGAGGAGGTAATCTATAAAATATTCACGAGAAAAAAAAAATAAATAAATATGAAAGTCATGAATTTATTTTTTCTATTTTTATTAATAATGTTAGTTTCAAACGATTGTTTCTATTCATACCTTCATATATGTTTTAATGCAAGGTGAACTCCTATTACTGTATATGCTTTTTTTTTATTTCGAATTAAATAGAATAAGAATTTTATTGCAATTGAAATTTAAAACAAAAAAATATTCGAATACCTTTTCTTCGGTCGTCCAGTCATAAAAAATAATTTTGATGGATTTTCTGTAGAACTTTTCTTATTATTACCATAAAGTTTTTCAACTGAATTCATACTATTTAAATAGCCAATTGATGAGTTTGTTAATGCTGGTAATGTTATATTTGGATGATGTTTTGTACGACGACTTGCTCGAAAATAATTAGAATTTCTCATTGGTATAGATGGAAGCATATGTAATTGATTTATAACAGATGATATCAATGGAGATCGATTTGTATTATCAATCATAATATCAGTTGATTTGACTATTGTTCGAGTCATTGATGATAGATTAGTTGTTGATAAATTAGTTCGTTCTATAATTGTATTATTTCCAGTAGTACCACCACCACCACTATATGTACCAATAATAGATAATTGATCATCATCTGATTCTTGTAATTGTGATGATGATGATGATAATGATAAAGATGTACCTTGTGATATTGAATTTAGATTTAATACATAACCTTTATTTTTACGATATTCTTCAATATAAGTATGTTTTGATGGATAAATTTTAAATGGACCTGTATTATCAGTTAGTGATGATAAAGATTTTGGAGAAAAAACACGAGGATTTTTAATATTACGAAGTTTTTTTATTGGTCGTGATAAATCATTATCATCTAAAATTAGACGATTAATTGTTGAATCTGGCCATGGACCAATACGATTGGTTGTTGGATATAATGTATGAGAATTTAATGATAATGAACGACGACGTGGAACATGATGACGATCAAGTGATGATGATGATGTTGATGATGACGTTGATGATAATGCTACAGAATGTGTCTGTTGAAATCCATGATGAATACGAGGTTGTTGTAATATTTGTGGACCGAGAATTGATGGACGTTGATTACTACAACGTAATAAATCACGTTTGAGCAATTTTTGACTTTTTAATGGTACAATTGGTTTTAAACATGGTGATAAAGAATCTGAAGGCACAGATTCTGTGTTTAAATCAATATTATTAGGTGTTTTAGTTCTAACATGATCAATCGGTGTCGCTAAACGTTTGGTTTGTGTTTGATATGAACGATGTTGAGATTGTTTATTAGAAATCGATCGTTTTGAAAATTTGTGCTTCATTCAATGACATGTAAAACCAAAAGTAAGCACTTCAGTAAGAACTTCTAGTCTTTTAACTGTCAAAATACAAATGAGCAAAAGAGAAAGAGAGAAAAATGCTTGTCGTTGTTGCTTACACTAACAATACTCTTACTCGCTTTACTAGTGTTGTTATTCTTGTTGAATCAGTTAAAACGAAATAGTAGGAAAAAAAAGAGAGAGGGGGGGAGAAACATAGAATAAAGCCGATTACATGAAACAATTTTACAACAGCACGCAAACGAGGCTTGTCATTGTTACCAGCTGCTGAACAAAAAACAATGTTAATATGTCTCTTAGTTTCTATTTTGAACTCATTACCTTGATTTCTCATGTTTCCGAGGCACCGGTGAAAATTGTTTTTTTTTTTAAAGATAAATACTTAATTAGAAAGATGAGTTATAATAAAATACTCTTTAAGATGAATTTTTATTTTTTATTGTTCAATAATCATCATTGTCTGACATCTTTTATACGGTATGAATTGTACGCAAAGAGGTTGTTGCTAAATTCTTGTTTAACTAAAATGATTGAAAATGACGATTAATGTTTTTTTCTTTTTTGAAAAGTCCAAATATACTTAGCAGAAAGAAAAGGTCTTTTATTATTACTTTAGTTTTTGTAGTTAATTAATTTTCTTTTTAGATTGAGCAATGCCGAAAAAAGGAAAAGGAAAGAAAGGCGGTAAAGGAAAGAAAGGGTGAGCTTAGTTCTTTTTCTTTTTTAAATTAATTATTTAAACAATAAAACATTTTTTTGTTTATTTTGTTTATCAAAAGGAAAAAGAAAAAAGATAATTCGCCACTAAAAATGGATGCTCGTAATACAGCTTTATGGGAAGTTCGACTTAATATGATAGATGCATCACGTAAACAATATCGGTTAGAAAAAATATGATTTTCATTAGTATATATAAATATATTGAATGTCTTTATGTTTGTTAATATAGAGATATAGCCGGTAATTTAGTCAATGAAAATGAAACATTACGTGATCAACTACGTCAAACAGAAAAGGATACTATTGATGTAGTATCATTTCTGAAAAAACAAGATCTCGACAAGGATTCTGAGGTAAACGATCATTATTATCTCAATAAACAATAAAGTCTATTTATATAAAAAACAAAAAAAAACATAATAGATCGAACGTTTACAACAAGAAATAACAACTCTTGAAATAGAACAAACTAAAGACAAACAAGATTTAGTATGTATCCTTAAATAAATATATTTCAATAAATTTTATAATTATTCTATTTAAAGTTAGATGATTTTGAACGACAAAAACGTCAATTAAATGAAAGATTAGGTCGAAAAGAAAATGAATTAGATATTGTTCGACATGAACTTAATCAAGTTAAAGAATTTCGAAAGAAAAAAGGTCAGATGCAAAAAGAACTTGAAGAAGTAAATTTTGATGATTTTTATATTCAATTTAATTTTTTATTATTAATTATATAGATTAAAGATGCTATGCTATGGAATGTGCGTGAACAAAAAGATACATTAGAAAAATTAGAAGAAAAATTTTCCGAAGAAAAAATGCGTTTACAACAAGAATCTAATAAAAGAATTGAAGAAATAGCAGAACATGCACAAAATGAAGCATTAAAGTAAATAATACAATAATAAAATATAAAAATTTTTATTTATTTTATCATTTTTAGAACTTTAGATGAAAAAGCTCGTAATATTTATAAAGAAAATGTTGATCTTATTGAATCCTTACGTATTTATAAACAAGAATTAAATAATTTACAAACATTAAAAGAACAATTAAAAAAACAAGCAACATTAATATTAAGTGATAAAGAAATGAATGATTTATTAATGAAAGAAAAAATAGAAGAAGTACAAAAAAAAAATAAATTAATTAAAGAAGTAAAATAACTCCATAATAATTATAATAATCATAAATTTCGGTTCTTTTTTGTTTTGTTTTGTATAGTTAAAAGAAAAAGTTCAATGTTTAGAATTATCATTAACAAAATTTATTGAAGAATTTGATAATGAAAGAAAAAAACTTCTTGAACAATCTCAAATTGAACAAGAATCATCACATAATGAAATAATAAAATTACAACGTGCTTTAGAATTAAAAGGAAAAGAAATGAATAAAGTTAAAAAATTAGGTAAAACAATACTTGAACAACGTTCAGAATTAGAAACATTATTTTTGGATTCTTTACAAAATGTTAAACGACATATTATTTATAATCGTTTACAATATCATAAAGATGCATTTAATTCTTATCAAAATCGAATGTTAAATAATCATCATGGACAAGGAGATCATACAAGAATGAGAACATTTAATGAAACATTTAATGAAATTAATACAAATAATGTTTTTCATGATTTAGAAGAAACAACTAAATGGTAAAGTTTCGGGAAATAGAAAGTATTATTTAAAGATAGAATAAATCGAATTAGTTTGATTTCGAGGATTTACTGATTTTCCATTTGAGCAATAGTTCCATAATCATTTCTATCTTATTGAAAAACTTTCTTCATGCAAAGTTTGAAGTCGAAATTTTTACATCACCTGAACGGAAAACAAATACCGTAAAAGTTCGATATCTCAAGAATGAAGAGTTGAAAAACTAAATCACTATAGAATTTTCTATTATTATCTAGTACTCATCAAATGAATATCGTCTTGATCGAAAAGCAATTTCACACATGAAGTTGCCTCCGTTTGAGTAACATTTTCTTTTCTAGAAAGATACAAGTGAAAATATATTTTCAAAAGGATAACTAAACCCCTCTCCGTATTAGAAGACCCGCCCATATTAGTAGACTCCCCTATAATAGAAGACGCCCTTGGACAAAAAGTTCATCGGGCGTATTAGAAGACCTCCCTTTAATTAATTAATTATTTTCTAATTAAGAACTTTAATTAGGGAATTTTCGTTCAGGAATGCAGTTTTTAGGTTCTTCAGCTGGTAATATTTAGAAAATGAGTCCAAATGTATCCATCGACCCTCAAAACCTTGAAAATTCCTATAAGAATCCTGAAAATCGCCTCGGATTTCTGGAAAACTACTTTCAGTTAATAATTGGTAAAAAACCTAGGACATAATAGAAGACCTCTCTGACAAATTTTTACGNGGTTCTGTGCCAGTTTGTCAAGTTTGATGCATTGATCATGATAATGTAAAGCGTTCTTCTCTTTGAGGAGTTAGGTCAACGTGAACTTCAGAAAAAAATCGCTACAAAATTATTATTTCAGAAATTTTATATTTGTTTAATTCTTAGTATTGAAAATTTTAACAGTGAATGAATCGTAGTTGACAATTACGATAAATAAACGTCCTAATTACATCGAATACATTGAATATTGTAATATCACCTGTCTTATTGATTGTGCTTTTATCTATAAATATGTGAAAAAAACCATTAAATTGAATAGAGATTATTGAAAGTGATGTATAAAATAAGNAAATTTTGCAAAGCCTGCCAAACTTGATTAGTAGAAGAAATCCAAAAAAAGAACAAAAAAGTCCAACCCAAATCACTTGAAGTCTCACCAAAAAAATTTTCAGCCCGATCGGACTTGAAATGGCGGAGAAAAAGGGAAAAAACTGGTTTTTGATACCCAAAAAACTAGTGTCGAGAAAAATGCACAATAAAAAAAAACTTGTAGAACAACTTTTTTTTTCCGCTTATACGTAAGTATAGGTATACCATATCATAATATAACTTTATGTTAAAAAAAAAAATTTTTTTTTTAATGTATAGGTCTCCAAAAAACCTGGTTTTTCAGAGACTTCCCGACCTTTGATGGTTCTGATTTTTATAACACACATAGAGGGGACCTTGATACACCTTTACACGAAAAAAAAATTTTTTTGGCTCAGGAAAGGGGGGTCCCCTTAAAATAATTGTCCCCGCTTGGTTTGATTAGCTTTGAAAAAAAAAAAAAGAATTGAATTCCGTACAACCATAGTAATAATACTATTGCAAGATTCAAATTATTAGATGTGATTAGAACTTCTATTTATATTGATCATATGAATGTATACATTCAATTAAAGCGTATCCAATATTAAAAATTACTGAAATAACAATCATTTTTCTGAGGTTGATTGAAAGCCGTGAGTGGTCAACAATTTATCACTTCCTATGTGAACTGCAATAGATTGTAATCAGTATCTTTTTTTACGACAGAAAATATCTTGATAGAAGATATTAACTCATCAATAAAAATAGACTTTACTCTAAAATTCATGAAAACAATCTATAATAATAAATTCATCAAAAAAAAAACAATATCCTTGTATAATACCGAATGGTGCACTAATAATTATTCAATTCTCGGCATCAACTTGAAACTTATATTAATATTACAATCGAGAATAATATCAATGATGATTGATTAATTTTTCGATTGCTGTCTTGAAATCATAAGAAGAATTTATTTCATAATCAAGTTAAATTTTTGTTAATTTAAATTAAAATTTCTATATTTTATCAAAAATAGGAGTAATCTCGTTTCGGAAGTTAATGTTGCTGATTTTACTTGGGAACAAAAAGAACAAGTACTTAGAGAATTATTCATTCAAATGAATACAAGAAGATCAAGTATGACAGATTCAACTACTAATGCGTAAGAATAAATTTAAATTTATCATATAACTATGTGTTGTTCTATAGAGCACATCTAGCTAATGATGGCCATCCAGTTGACAGTAATAGTGATAATGTCACCACTGTATTTCTAACTCAAACAGCTAATGCAGCACAAAATGAAAATTTATCTGATTCAAGAAGTAATACAAGCATATCTGGCATACCAAAATTACCTCAAATTTCATCAACATCTACCACATAAATTGAACTTCTTTTTTTTTTTTTCTAACATATTTTTGTAAATGACTTTTTCTAACAAAAGAAAATTAATCTCATATTATACAAAATAATCATTGCTAAAAATCAAAAAATATTTTTGAACTAAGTACCTGAAGTTTATTCATAAAGAGAAGAAAAATGTACAAAATAAAAATGAAGCATAAGACAGAACAGATATTTCATAGTAACTTTAAAAGCCCTTTTCTCCCAAAAAAAAAAACAAACATAATGAAATCGAATATAAGAATCATAGTTAATCGACACAGGTCACAGTGCTACCATTCTAAACTTTAGAAAGCTAAGATCAACTTTAAAAAATTTCCGAAGTATTCAAACATTCCACTTTGGTAATGTTGAAACAACATCTTCTCACTTTCTATCACTTAAAATAGTGTACAATCATCTAAGGTCTAGCCTCTACAGTAGACATTCGCTCTGGAAAGATTCTTACAATGATCGAATGTTTTAATACCAACAAAAAAAAAAAAAAAAAAAAAGACTTTTTTTAAAGATTAACAAGATACTCGCAACATAGCAAAATGAAATATGTAAAGCAGGAAACCCAAAAAAAAAAAAGAAAGAAAGCAACAACCAGTCTTTGTATATCATTTGTTTTTTTCGAATTTAATATCGAAATGAATTAATCCGTTACTGGATGAAAATCATTATCCGACATGAAACTATTGTCATTTTTATTTTTGCCATTATTTTTTTCTGATGTTCGATGAACATCTTGATCTTGTTTTGAAGGTTCAACATTAGCTATAGCTAAACGCATTTTCATTTCAGGAGTTAATTTAGGTAAAAATTCACGAGGAACAAGAAATGATGCAAGATTAAATAAATCAATAAAAACCTTATAACGATCACTAGAAAAGAAAAAATTTTTTCAAGCGAATATTATTTAATAAAATATTTTAATTTAATCAAACCTGCAAGTCGATCGTAAATAACTATAACCAGCTGAACCACCTGTACCTTGTTTATTACCAATTTGTCGTTGAACAAGTAGTAAATGATTGTCTAAAAATAATTACAAAATGAATATGATTTTAGATTATTTCAACCAAGGATATTTCTTCTCGCTCACTTTCCGGCGTTTTTTTTTAGCCGATGAACGGCTTGTACGAAAAATTTAAATTGATTGTTTTTTTTTGTAACATTTAAATTACAATTTTTATACTCATTTGATAGATACTACTTCTTTTTGTAAACTAGAAGATTGGTGAAAGAATATAAGACCAATGTGTTTTTGTTCTTCTATGATATCAAGCGTTTAAATAGTCGATGAAATTTTCTATCAAGAATTTTATAGATGAACTATGAGAAAAGCTTCTGAAAAATTGAACATATTACTTTTCAGACCTCCAGAATGCTATTTTAAAAGTACCATGTTAACAATGGCGTACGCAGAAATTTTTCAAGGGGGGGGGGGCCCAACTTCGTGAGGGGGGGGGGGGGGCCGCCGAGTGGAACAAAAAGATTTTTATCGCGAAAAAAGAGTGTTTTCGTGGGCCTGCTCGGCGCTTNAGGGATAGACGAATCATTTTTGTAAGAACCTTGTATTTTCCTACCCTGGACATTGTTTTTCCTATCTGTGAAAAAGTGAAATTTTCTTTGTTGAGTTCATTAGTGCTACTTAATATGGGTTCTTCCTGACCTTGTTCTTATAGATATAAAGCCTGAGGATGCCTCTATCATTGATAAAAAAATCAGCTTCTTTGCTCGAACCGTAAGGAAGATATTTAATTTTTTTTGGGTAACATGACTTTTGGGCCACCCTGTATATATATGGTTTCTCAGAAAATAATGAGATTTTAATAGGCTTATTAGAGAAAATCCGCGGTACTGTAAAAAATGCATGTTTTTTTTTCTGAATACCAGTACTACCAAAAATTAGTAGAACAATATGTTTTAAAACAAAAAAAAAAAACGATACCTATTCCAAACACTATATAGTAAATTAAAAAAAACTCATGAAAATGCTGATTTGAGAAAAACCCAAAATAATGTAAATTTCGATACTCAATAGATATTTAGGATAATCCAAAAATAGTGGTAGTGCCACTTTAATACCGTACAGTGAGCTTTATAAAACTTTCGGAAACAAGGTTCTATTTTTCTATGATATTTGATCATTATTCAGCTAATATCATAATAATAAAATTTCGATAAGACCTACTTTTCTGTCATATGTGACAGTTACACTAATATCTCTTTAAAAAAAGAAGATGGAGTAAATAGGTTTTGAAAAACTTCTGCTACTATTTTTGGATTACCCTAAGTAGATCTTACTTCAGAATCCTCAAGGAAAAATATTATAATAGAAAGATTACGACATTTACTTAATAATATGGTATTAGCAGAAAGAAATAAGTTCACTACTGGCTATAAATTATATCTTTTTCTAATTATCGAAATAATTAATTTCAGTTACTTTACAAGAAGAAATTTCGTATATTTATCTAATTAATGAAAATGTTCTAGTTTACGATTAGAATAAAGCTTTGCTTAAATTTTCAATTTATAATCGAAAGAATTTCGATAGTTTATCTACACGAATGGTTTTTTCGTTTAGATCTTTATTACATGATCGTCGTCGATTAGCATATGGAATTTTACTTATAATTATTCTTATTTTTCCATTTTTACCAACAGTTGGTACAATTAAAATAACATTATCATGGTGTACTGTATTATCTGGTATAATAATATTAATATTACATTATCTTTATTTTAAATCTGAATCTCATCAATTATATATTTATTATATTCAACGTATTTGTTTAATACTTGCTATAATTAATAATTATTTTGTACATTACTTATCAATTCGTTCATCATTAATTCATATTCTTAGTTGGATAATTTTAATAATTTCATGTTTTTTACCATTTTTTTCTTCATCAATATATCGTTTAAAACGACTTATTATTATATATACATCAATTTTAACAATTTATATATTACTTTCAACACAATATGAATCATTATTTGTTTTATTTCTTTGTTTATTAATGTTAACATGGATTATAACATATGAACAACAAGGAAATATTCGTTTATTTACATTTCAATCATTACTTTTTATTTTTCTTGCTTTTTTTGGTACAGGAAATTTTGCATCGATTAATTCGTTTGATCCATCTATTGTTTATTGTTTTTTAACAATATTTAATCCATTTTTAATGGGTTCTGTTATTATATTTAAATGTATATTACCAATACTTATAGTTACATGTGCAACAGCATATGTTATAAAAAATCCTGATATGATTAAAAATTTTCGTTTATATACATTAATTATATGTGATTTATTAGCACTTGAATTATTTTTTTTTATTAAAACTGAAGGTAGTTGGTTAGATATTGGTGAAAGTATAAGTCGTTATGTTATACTTATGGCAATGATTGTTATTTTAACAACATTTCATTTTCTTGCAAGTTTATTATTAAAAAAAGAATTATATTTACCTAAATAAAAAAAAAAACAATATTCCAAATAAGATTGTGATACATTTTTCTTTTTTTGTTAATTCTCAGAGAAACTATTTGATAAATAAAATAAAAAGAATTTTCATTAATTCTTATAGAAAACTCATTCGATTTACTAATGCAATTTTATTTATAACAATCATGAGAACATTACGTACGCACATTCAAGATAAACATAGATCTATTGTTAAATAAATTACTAAAGAAAATTTAACAATATATATATATATTAAGAATTAATAGTTAAACATTCTCAATTTTCATCATAGAATGAGGTTGATTATCGAGAAAAGAAATTCATTAAACAAGAAAGTTTATACTTTCGATGAATAAAAATAGCAGATAAATAAGTTCTTATTAACTCCAACAAATGTACCCAACCCGATTTTAAAGATTCAGATTCGATCCTGACTGTAGTCATTGTCAGGTAGTTAATAAAACGAAAAAGAAGTAAGCTAATAAATTTACATACAGTGAAATAAATAATTCAAATACTGAGATACTAAAAACAAGTCAATGATGTTCAGGAAACACCTACAATTGACAGACTCATCAAGGATTTTCAGAACTAATTGATTAATTCTCAAATATCAAACGAGAGTTCGAATTTGGTGCATACTTTGACAAGTAGGAAAGGACAAACATTCCATATTTCATCGTTACTCGAAGAATATGTCAAACCTATCATATAGAACTTGTTAACTATTTGCATATGTTACGAGCATATTATTCGGAGTTCATTATATACAAATGTGTTTGGCAATAATACCCAAATACTTAATTGTACTTCAAAATTTGAATATGAGTGTATTACAGCGAAATACTTGAACGGTATTATTAAAAAGATTTATATAGAATATATATACCGTTGGAATACCCTGAAGTAAAGATCTTTCCTTTTCCTCTCTTGATGTTGAATCACTTTTGTTCTTTGATATATGTTCTCGTATGTTTCTAGCAACGACAAAATTATTACAAATCGAATTTTTAATATATAATATATGGTTTAAAATAGCAAAAAAAAAAATATTGATATATCGTTTAAGGTTTTTTTATGTATTTTTCAAATAAAATTTTTTATGTAAGTCATTTTATACTTCATTGGTCATATGCTCTATTTAAGAATATAATATTTAAATTATATCAATGACTTGATTATTGCCATGATATGAATATTATTGAAATCGTATAGAACAATACTAAATAAAAAATGTAAAAAAAAAAAAGTAATCTAAAAGCACAACATGAACTAGACAATGAGGCTAATAGAGCATGTAATGATCTATTAACAAGTGTTATTTAAGAACATTTTGAAAAAAAAATCAGGTTTTGTAGTAATATTTTTATCTTCATCTAGAATCTGAATTTTTATTTTAATTATCTACTCTTGTACTATTTATATATATATATATATATGAAGGAATTTGTTGCAACCATAAACTGTATATTTTTCTATTGAAAATACAATTTGCAATATTTTTATTGTTTATAATTTGGATTACTTAGTGAAACCATCATAATATAGTCAAACTAGAATGAGTTAATGTCTGTAGAAAAATGTACTTGTTCGAAATCATATTTGATTGGACATAGTATATTCATTGTTTTTCACACTGTTAAAACAAATAACTGTTAATCTTACATATACAAGCACAAGTTGAATACATGATACATGCATAGTAAACCCTGGATAGAATGTTTGTTCGATAACTTTCTTTCTTTGTTCATTTATAATATGTTACTATATGTCGATCGGTAGAATAATACCCTACGTTCTTTTTCGTCTATATATTGTCTACATATAGTAAAATACTTATCATTATTGTTCTTCACAACCTATCTTTTTGTCTTTACTAAACCTTTCAACATGACTTCATTAATAATTACTTTATTATTATCAGTTGTCACATTAACAACATCAGATTTGTCGCAAAGTAGCGAACAAAATGTACTTGCACGTTTTTATTCTAATTTTGCCCAATTATATCGTCCAGCATTATTAAAATCATATTCATCAGAATTAAATCACGAACAATCAATTGAACAATATCGATTTTTATTTAATGCAAAAGAATATTCACAAATAACTGAAGAATCAATAACAATGTTAAATACAAATGTTATTGAACGAACAATTATTTATCATCCAACACCAATGTTTGAAATAAATGGTACACGATATTTTTATCGTCGTGATTCAAAAGAAAATGATGGCATTGAAATAGAACTTGTTAATTCAAACGATTTTATTTTTCGTGAAGTTCAACAACCAAATCATTATTTTTATTTATCATCATATGATGGTCTTGAATATTTAAAACAAGTTCCTACTATGCCTTATTATGAAGTTATATTTAACTGTAAGTCATTATTTACAAAAGATACTTCAATTCAAGCACCACTCTTATCATATATTAACAAAAATATTCAATGGACACCTCGATATATAATAGATCTATCATCATTTAGTACGAATAAACAACCAGCAATGTATGCCTATGCTGATATTCGTAACAATGGTGAACAATCAATTGTTATTAAAGCGGCGGAATTTATTGCTGGTAAATTAGTATTTCTTAATTTTTTTGTTATTATTTTTTCTTTTATTTTTAGGAGACATAAATTTAAATCAAAGACCACTTGAATATTTAAGTGCAAATTTACTATATGCAAAAAGTGCTAGTGTTCCTCTATTATCAGATACAACTGATAATAATTTTATTCATCGATTAGATGAACAAGCTGGTGGTACATATGTATATCAATTATCATTACCATCATCTATAACATTAGAAGCACGTTCATTAAAATCAATTAAATTCTTCGAAACAAATATTACAATTGAACGATTTCTTTATTATTCATCTTTATTTTCAACTATAAATTCTTATGGTAAATTATTAAATGCATTTAATCTAACATCACATAATAATTTTATTCCTAATGGTCTTCTAACATTACATGAACAAGGAAGATTTATTGGTCAAATTAATTTACCAGATATAACTCAAGGTGAAACATATACAATGCAATTTGGTTATGATAGTGATGTTACATATCGTCGACAAGTTAAAATAGTTCAAGGTAATGAAAATAGTAAATCAATAATATATTATGTTGAATATATTTTTGAAAATTATAAATTATCTCATGATGTTCATTTATATTTTATCGAATCATTTAAATCATTGAAATATTTTCGAATAAAAAATATTTCAACATCAAAGAATAATAATAATTTACCAGATCTTGTATCATATGGTACTGATTTACGAGGATATATCACTATTCCATGTCAACGTATTCAAAAAGTAATTAGTTATAAATTAATTACATACACAATTAAACCAACAATATATACTCATATATAATCAAAAGACAAATTCTATTATGTTTATTTAATTTCTATTTCTATGTATTTCTTTTTTTGTTCAATTAAAATAAATGATTTCTATTCATTAAAATATTTCTATTTTCTACAAAATAACATATGAAAAAATGAATTCAATTGTATTTGATCTAACCATCAATATAATAGATATCACATAACGAATATATTCGATTACATGAATGTTCATGACAAAGATGAGTATAGCATATAAACAAGAAAAAAAAGTTCCCGGTTAATCTTCTAACAAACATAATCAGTTTTGTATTTCAATCAGGCTTACCAAACCTTCTGATTTCAGGAGCTGATTTTTTAGATTCTTTCCTGATTTTTATTTTTATTTTTCTATTTGGGTGTTAGCGACATATCTGAACCCATGAGAGAGTTAAAAGAAAGAAAGTACTATCGCCGTATCTAAATGATATAGTAATCAATAAAAACATGTTGCTTTTACTCCGTATTATTCAAGCTAAAATCACCAATTACAAATATATTAACGAATCTGATATAGAGTATTTTTCTAGACAGAGTTAGTGAGAAAGTAATACTGTACGTATATAATGTTTTCATTGGCCGAAGATTTTATTATTAAAGTATAAAACTCATCGGATAAAAATCCTAAGACACAATCTGAATCATAACTGGTAAACGGTGGCTTTTCTATTTCATCAAAAAAAAACTTCGAAATTAAGAGTCGTTGCTTCATTATGATTAACAATAAATAAACAATATATCGGGTCTTCTGAAATGTTTCCAACATGTTTCATTTTATAAATATCTTTGCACAGGCAAAAGATAGAATCTTAACCTTTTTTTTTTTGAAGATGTACTGTGAGAAGTTCTAGAAAAATTGTATTAACAAATTCCTACCGACATGTTTTCATGGTTGTTTCATGCTAAAAATGTACAACCTTCATGATAGTGCTATTTTTCACTGTATTATACATAATAAAGATGTAGGAATGACTTTTTTGTTTTACACTAGGAATGTGTTCATAAAGCTTCTATAGAACTTCCGATGGCCATCTCTAAAAGAATCATGATGTTATCATTTTCTGTAGTGGAAATATACACAAAATAAAAAGTTTTAAATATTTCTATTATGCTCGATACGGTGGAAAGTAGCATTATCATATGGGTTGTACATTTTGAGTATGAAAAACCGTTTGAACGTGCCAGTAGGAGTTTTTGTTTATAGAATGTTTGTAGAGTTTTTCACGGCGTATAATTTTAAAAATGATGAAGACTTCATCATTCACTTAAGCCTAGATATTTGAGAAATAAAACTTATTGAAAATATTTTAGCGCACCGGTGGAATTCAAATTTAAGAAAAATTTTCCGTTATCAACTTGATACGCTAAAGAGAAAAACGCAGATGTGAGTGGAACTTTGAGTGTTCTTTGTGAAAAATTGCCAAACGATTCTTGAACTATAAATCAAAGTCTCCTGATAAACTCTTGATTTTTAACAAAAAACTCCTGAATTCTAAAATTTGAATTTGGTAATCCTGATTTAATTCTTTAGTTCGTTATTGTCTGACTAGATTTGGGTGTGGGTGTAGAAATTTTAAAGTAAATTAAAAGAAAAAAGAAAAAGATAATTGAATATGATTAATATTCAAGATGGAACCTACTTAATTGATGATTCGAGCTAAGAAAAAAAAAACAACTTACGAAAGAAACATATTCATTTCAATTTAATCTATTCAGAAGTATTATGTGGAAAAAAATATTTAATTTAATAAAACATGTCTATTCTGCTATTTTTTCTCTAGTATTCATGATATTGTTTCAATCTACTGCCTTTATGGCTCTTTTTTTTTCTTTTTAAGCTTTAATGTTAATTTAAAGGTATTTGCAAGAATGAATACAGAAGTCAGTATTAATAAGGCAGGTATAAAATCGATAATCATTCTTCTATTATCATTTCTTCGGAAATTGAGTTCTGTCGTTATTCAATCGCATACGACTCATCCATCTATTTATGAGACAAAGTAATTTTGAAGAGGTTCAACGTGACCAATATGGAAATTAAAGTAAATAAGAAAAAAAAAAAGTATCTATACGGGTGGATTTTGACACTATAGTTAACATTTTAACAGTTTGTGTTTGAATATATACACAAATTTGTTTAATTAATTTTCATATGAAATATAATTTTAATAAAAAACCTATTATTTTCAATCCATACCTATTTAATGAGCTTTCATTCAATCAGTTTTTTGTTAAGTAACATGAGTAGGACGTTTCGGATAGTATTTCTTTGTGAACACCAAAAGAAAAAAAAAGGAAACTAGTTTCATTATTTATTAAATACACATAAAAGATATTTATATATAATTAATAAAATAAAAGAATAGAATATGATATCAAATTGCAAGAAAGTCTCTGTCAGATTTCATATTTTTATTTTATCACAAAAAGAAAATAATTTCATTCGCTCAGCATTATTATAATTAATCAGCTTGTTAAATTTTGACAAATGTCTATATTCCATACTTGGTCTTGTAGAAAAGACTATAATGAAAGCAGGAAATGAGAAAAATACTAAAACGGAAAAGACAATTACTACATAGAGCAGAATTAGACGAAGAGAAAGAATAAATAAATCTTCAGTGCTAAAACTCCTCCAACTTTTCCATCTTTTTTTTACCTTCATAGGTTCTCTATTTCTATGCTGCTCAAGTTTATATAATATGACAAAACACTTTTTTCTTTCCCATCTCACTTCAAAGCAGTTTTCTTTTTGTAATTACTGTTTCTTTTTAAACTAGTAACTAAACAAACTATTCATTATTTTATACAATGAATGTATCAATGTCTTCGCATAGTAATATATCGTCATCTAAACAACTAGAACCATGTTATATTTTACGACCTATTGGTTATTATTTATTATTTCTTTGGATTATTGGTACTAGTTTAAATGCTTATGTATTATATATATTTATACGATATAAAAATTTACGTCAATCATCAACGAATATATTTATTTTTGGTTTAGTATTTGCAGATTTTTTTGGAGCTTGTTTTGAAATACCATTACCAGCTATTGCACTTCTAGGATGCAGGTTAGAATTTTTATTTATATATTTAGATGTTTTTTCATATTATTTTTTTATTTTAGATGGATTTTTAAATATGTTGGTTGTGTACTAGAAGCTATTATAGCTTATTTTTCTGGTTGCTCAAATATGTATATGTTATGTTTCATTTCTATTGATAGGTATAAAAGAAAAATTTGAATTATTTTACATAAAAATAAAATATTTGATTGTATCTAACAGATATTTTGTTGTGACAAGATTGTTTTCAGGATCGGTTATAACGATTACACATGCTTATGTAACTGTTATATGTGGTTATTTGTTAGCTTTATTTTGGACACTACTTCCAGTTATTGGATGGTCTAGCTATGATTTTGAAGTCTGGTTTTTAGTTTTTTTTTATTGAATACAATAAATTAATTTATAGGGTGTTGGAGCATCATGTAGTATAAAATGGGAAGAAAGATCATTGAATGTAATCAGTTATAATATAACTATTTTTATTTTTGTTTATCTAATACCAGTTATGATTATTATGATAACGAATATAAGTGCTTATAACGTAGTAAGTAGATCTTTTACTAATTGGAAAATGAAAACAACGAGAATATTAACCTTCGTTTTTTTCAGATTCGTGAACGTCGACGTCGTACAAGTGTAAATTTACATGAATCTTATTCTCAACGTCACTTTTTAATTGAACGTCGTGTAACCTACACTGTTATTCTTATCATCGGTAATAATAACAATTTTGAATAAAAGAAAAAAAAATTAAATTGAATATTTCTTTTCATATTCTTAAGGTGGTTATCTTCTTGCTTGGACTCCATATTGTATAATGAGTTTTATTCGTGCTTTTATTGATGCTGAGTATTTTCCGCCTATTCTTGGAACAATACCAGCATTATTTGCTAAAACAAGTGTTGTGTAGGTTTCTTTTTTTTTTTTTTCTTTACCTAGAAAATTGTTTTTATTTCATTATTTAGATGGAATCCTTTAATTTATGTAGTACGTAATGGAAATATTCGTCACTATCTTCCATTCTATAGAAATAATCTTTCTAAAGAAAGAAGTAAATAATTCGTTTCATTTCTTTCTATCATAAAAAAAAATTATTGATTTCTAGATAGAACTTCTGATCCAGCACGTTTCACAATTTATCCATTTTCTACAGTTCAACTACCATTAACATCAACGCCAAGTTCTCGTCACACTTAATGTTATGAAAAAAAAAAATGTGTGTTTTAATTCATATTTTATAATTAAAATGTCACGAAAAAAAAAAAATTAGTCTGTGCAAGTCTTTATTAAAATAATTGAACGAATTCATCAAATGAAATTTTTCCATCACCACTTGTATCTAAAGATTTAACTAATGCATCTATTTGAGCTTTATTAAAGCGTTTTCCCATTTTAATCATAATATTTTCAAGTTCACTTGCTTGAATAAAACCTGAACCATCCTGATCGAATTGACGAAAAGCAGCACGTAATTCATCTTGCGAATGTTTTTTAAAAAATGCATCAGCCATTACACGACAAAATTCATCAAATTCAATTTGACCTATTTAGAATCGTAAAATCTTCTTTTCAAATAACTAATCATTCTACATACCACTTTTATCCGTATCCATTTCTGCAACTAACTTTTTTAATTGACTATCACTTACTTTAATACTTAATGCCTTAAAAACATTTCCTAATTCTTTTTCAGATATTTTACCAGATTTATCTATTTATAAATATTAATAAAATTTTCTTTTAATAATTAAAAACATTTTTTTCATATTATATTTATGTACCTGAATCGAATAAATCGAAAGCATCTTTTAATTCTTGACGTTGTGCGTTTGTCAGTGAGGTCGCCATGTATGAAAATAAACTGCACAAATAAAATTCTAAAAAGAAAAAAAAAAGGTACTTTTTAAACATTTCATGTCTAACATCGATAAAGAAGAGAAAAAGAAAATGTTGTTCACCATGGATACGATAAGTATGCCTTTACTATTAATAACCAAATTATGTTTGTCATAGAAAAAGGAATCCACTCAAAAACGGTCAATATGATCAAAACACACATGGATAACGATGAGAAAAAAAATCTTTTTTTTTTTTTCTTTCATAAAAAATACCAGTTTTTTTTTTTGAATAATTCAAAGCGGCATTGTTTATTGTCTTAGAGAAGAAATAAAAGTACATGAATATATTTGAGTATGAATAAACGTGCTTATCATGATAAGATATTTTGTTCTGGTATATACAATGCAATGTAATATGAGAATGAAAAAAAAAAACGTATAACAACTTTATCATTGGTTTAATATTAAATTCTTTGTTAAAAAAAAACATAGACATGCACAGTCGAGTATTAGAATTGAAATATCCGTTATTCAATTGTTCTTCATAAGTTTCTTAACATTTTCCAATTAATAATAAGTTCTCTTAACATCAAAAAGATGAGATGGCAAATATATATAGCATTGTCTCATTGATAATAAAAGGACTTTTATCATATTTCATATACTAATCTTACAGGAAGTCATGCAATAGCTATGAACTATAGAACAATATCTTGAAAAATTGTCCTATTAAATAAAAAAGAAAAATACAACTTCAATTTAGGCGTTAAGGACTTGTCTCGATTACTTAAAGAATGTTGTTATTTCATTAAAATAAATTTGGCTTAAAAATGAGCATGACTTAGGATATAATGAAGTTTTGAAGAAGGACGTGCTTAATTTGAAAAGATTTTCTTATCACATAGGAAAGGTTTTTTTTACTCTTCAAAGCACTTGTCATGTCAATCGTATTTCTTTTTATCTTTTCCAATTCATTGATCCATATTTTATATTTGAAAAATTTCAAATTAAATTTTTTGAATAATAATAATAATAATGTTCCTATGGCATATATTTAATCCAATACGAATTTATTTTTGTTTTTTAAAGATTTTAAATCAAATTATTTTTCTCGATTAAAAAATAAAACAATTATTTAGATCTATAAAAATAAAAAAGAACCGTGAATGAATATAAAGAATATGTCAATAGTTTTTCACAATTTCAAATAAAATAATAACAGGAAGTATGGGTCAATTTGACCTTACACACTATTCTAAGTTTACATACAAAAGTCTAACTGAACTGAAAAATGAATTTATTTGATTTTTAATCTCGGACATATCACATATAAGTTCAGACTCATATATATATATATATGAAGTATTTTATTATTAAATTCTTTTCAGATGTTGTATTAAGAATATGATCTCGTCCAGTAATTGTATTCTATGCTTAGTTTAATCTCTAGAGACGTTGCCTTCTTTAAAATAGAACTGACAAACAAATAGACATTGGATAGACATGATTGCATGTATGTTGTCATTTCCGTTGTTCATCATCGATCACTACACGCAAATGCTCATCATTGGTTTTTTCTTGTCTTTCTCAAAATAACAATCTGTCCACCCAGTTCCGTCATTAATTTTCTTTTTTTCTCTTTTTNTTAAATCAAATTATTTTTCTGGATTAAAAAATAAAATAATTATTTAGATCTATAAAAATAAAAAAACAACCATGAATGAATATAAAGACTATGTATCAATAGTTTTTCACAATGTCAAATAAAATAATAACAGGAAGGGTGTGGGTCAATTTGACCTTAGACTATTCTAAGTTTATATACAAAAGTCTAACTGAACTGAAAAATGAATTTATTTGATTTTTAATCTCGAACATATCACATATAAGTTCAAACTCATATATATATATATGAAGTATTTTATTATTAAATCCTTTTCAGATGTTGTATTAAGAATATGATCTCGTACAGTAATTGTATGCTATGCTTAGTTTAATCTCTAGAGACGTTGTCTTCTTTAAAATAGAACTGACAAACAAATAGACATTGGATAGACATGATTGCATGTATGTTGTCATTTCCGTTGTTCATCATCGATCACTACACGCAAATGCTCATCATTGGTTTTTTTTTTGTCTTTCTCAAAATAACAATCTGTCCACCCAGTTCCGTCATTAATTTTCTTTTTTTCTCTTTTTTGTTCAATGTCGGTCAGCATAAGGACAAAACTCATTAGAAAAAAATGAAATAGAACGAGACAAGTGGAAAAATGCATCGATGATAATTGCTTTGGGCTTCGTCTGTCTATATATTTTCTTGTATTGAATAAAAAACAAACTTTTTTTTTTTCTATTTTCTTTTTTTATCTATGTCAGTCAAGTATTTTCGAAAATCGAACAGATGTCTATTTATCTTTCAAGTTGTATATCAATCAATTGTTGTTAGAAAGACCATGAATATATAGAATGAAGGCTTTTCGTTTTTCATATAAATGATACGGTCGATCAATCAATATATAATGACAGACAATTGGACCATCTGATGAGTTCAATATATATATATATATTTTTTTCTTACTCGTTCTTATATTTGAACACATGTGTTTTTTTTCTTTCGTGATAAAATAGAGAGAAAGAGAGACAATGGAAGCGATTCTATTCTTCTTTTGATAATAGTTCAATTGCATTATGATTCATTTTCAGACGATTCATATGTATTGTTGATAAACTAGTGTTTAATCAGACTTGTGTTTTTCACACATAGAAAAGCAGCAATTTTTGTATTTTAATCATCGTTTATTGATTAATTGTCTTGAATAAAATATTAATATGTTAGTATATAATAAAATAGTCTTTTTCTTTTAGTTCTGGGAGAAAGAAGAAAAATATTCTATGTCAATATAGAATTAAGCGTAAGTATTATTTTACTATTACATAATTGATTCCATGTGAAAGTATAAGACAAGGAAGAGATTTATCGATTAGATTGAATAAATGATCGAGCATGTCAACCGTTTTATAGGCGAAGAAATAATTTCTTCAGTCAGTTTATCATACTTCGAACGATTGATACATCAATTTTGTTGCTTGAGAATTTAGAAATTATAAATTGTTATCAATTATATATTTATATAAAATTTCATATTATTATTTTTAGATTCTATGAAAAAAATCGATGGTTTTCAAACAACCGATTCATTTCGGTTTGATCGTAATAGTTCATCTTCATCTATATCATTATCATCTTCGTCTGGTTATGGTTCACGTTTAAGTTTATTTCAAACAGATCCATCATCATCATCATCTAATCGTCGTATTGGTATAACAAAATATATTAAAGAAAAATTATCTCGACATAAAAGTTTAGCATCACTTCTCTTATCATCATCATCAACAACAACAATAAAAAGAACAGAAATCAATAATCATAACACAGATATCTATGATAATGTATGGAATTTAGATGAACAAATTGAAAAATTTCGTTTAAATATAAATAAACAAATTCAATATGATTCTCAATCAATTATTTCAATGTCTGTTGATACACCAAAACCAATACGTCATCGAATAGAGTAAGTCATTTGTATTTTCTTTGACCTTGAAATGTGATCATATTTACTTTCATTCATTCATCCATATCGCGTGATAAATCTAGCGATGTCTCTCATATTACATAGAGATGTATACATGTGTGTGTGTGCAGACATAGATGGCCCGAAGATTATTGTTGTTTCGTCTACACACACTTGAGCGCACAGCATCTAATTGCAATGATCCTATACGTATATGAAAGACAATAGAGTGTCAATAGTAACAATAATCAAATTTTCATTGTTAGCTATGCTTGATTAACGCACTAGTGAATTTTTTATTGATGAGAATAGCTTTTCCTGAACATCTGTTCTGATAAGAATATATCTTAAATTACAATTTTAATCAATATTATAAAAAGTTTTTTTTTTTGTTTACTTTTAGTGATCAAGATTTATTATCAGCTGCTGCATGGTATCAAGAAGGTTTACCTGAATATATTTGTGAAGAATATTTAAATAATAATAATCAACCAATTGGATCATTTATTATACGATGTAATTATAATCGTTCAGATTATCCATATATGTTATCAATTAAAACAAATAAAACATCAATTGAACATTTTTTTATTCAACAAATAATTAATAATAATACTTATCGAATAAAAGTTTGTTTAATAAATATTATCTTTGATCTTATATGTATATATATATATATTGTATTTAGGGTTCATCAAAAATATTTGTTAATTTAAGTACACTTGTTATTCATCATACAGTCATACGAGAAAATCTTCCTGTTACACTTGTATTACCATTTATACATTCTACGTTAAATAGTCAGCAACCATCATCGTTAGGCATTATTCGTTCTGTACGATTCTAGTCCTTTTTTGTATACAATGTATTTATTTATTAATAAAAATAAAGTCTGATAGAATTTTGTTTGTGTCTTTAAATGTTTATTTCATAAATGAATAGATCAGAAGAGTATGTGCTCAGTGTTAATTGTTCCATAGGGAGAACAAGAATGAATGAAAGATATCATGCTGAGATTGATATATGATAATGTGAGAAAAAATTTATTTCAATGACATATGATTTAAAAGAATTTCACGAGATTGATTCAAGCAAACAAAAAAAAATTATTTAATTGTCTATATAACAAATTCTTAAAATAGGATGAGAATTTTGTGAAAAATATTTTTTTATTTTTATTAATTAAAATTTGTTTATATTAAAAATGATCTCAAAATAATAATCAGATTAACTAATTATATAAGAATTTTACTAGCTCAATGAATTTGCTAGATAATAGTTTACTCTGATGTTAACGACAAACAAAGATATACATTTTATTATTTCATACTGTTCTCTTTTATTGAAAGTGTGAGGTTTTAAAGTTACTATTATTAATTATATTATCGAATGGATTTCTGACTTTGTATTTTAAGTTTCTGTAATAATTTCAATACAAGACTGTGTACAATTATTTCTTCGTCTGCAAAGAAAAATATAGCGCTATGTAAGATTATCAGAATTTATTCATAGAAAGTTATTGAAAAAAGATAACTGAAGAGAACTATTCTGAAATATCTTCCATAATCATATCTAATTCAATTTGTGTTCCATTATAATCCATTCTTATGACTTCATACATATTAATATCTTTTTCTGAAATAGAAAATAGAGCGAAATGTCTCTACATAGAAAATTATGTTTTCGGTTTAGATATGACATGAGACCATTTAAAAATTGCTTTATAAATCAGTTGAAATTAGGGATGTCATATTATAATTAGTATTAGCATTTATTAATACTTTAGGTCTTACTATTCAAATCAACCTTAGTGCTTTGGCATTATTACGACTAAATCTCGGATACTTTCAGCTTAAAGGTTTCTAAAACCTAAAAGAATCTGACATGTATAATTGAAATTGAATAACAATCGTAGATGACTTAATATTCTCTAAAGACATATCATTATCAGACACCAAATAATCGAAATACACGAACTGATAATAATCAATTTTAAATGTTTTACACTCATGAAATTTGTACATTCAAATTTTACGGAGTATTCATCGTTATGAGAAGTATATAAAAGTGATTAGTAAATTAAATAGATGATATTGTTAAAAGATGACCTCAATCAAATATCAGATGACGGATTAAGATCATCTAAAGAATAGATAATATTGAAGTTCAGTATCAGTATTGTTTTTGTTTAGAAATATCAAAAACTGTTACAGAAATAATAAATCATTGATATTAACTATTTTCATCATTGATCTCAATGAATGAATTGGTGTGATGAAATTGATTGATTATTATCAACGATAATCTATTATTCTTGTCCAACAAATGCTAAATCATTGATTTGGTAATCAATTATTTTTGATATAGTTGTTAACTAATAGATGATTTATTGCTAGGTAGTTATTAAATGAAAGAAGTCGATTTTTTCTTACTTCTTCGAAATACAAGTAAATATTGGGTTTTTTTAATGACATGTGAGTTTTATAACAACGTTCAATCTGGGATTAAGAAAAGTGTAGAGTTAATAATGACATTGAAGTTTTTACTTAAATAAACTAATGAGAAGAGTGCCTTAACTGATTTCGAGCTTTTGGGTTCACCTTTTTTTGGTTAAAACTATGTCATAAAAAAAGGTACTTTTTTCTTATCTAAATAGTTCTAAATTAGTCTTTATATGGCTAGCTTTAGTAATAGCTTGTTTTCTACAGAAATTTAAAATTAATGGTTCTGTCGAAACTCAGAATATCAAATTGTAGTCGTTTAAGACTTGTTGACATGTGATGTTGTAGAGAAAGAACGAGAAAAGAGTAAAATGACTGTCGATATTTGTTGACTACGTGTGCCATGTCGATGTCAGAAAAAAAATGATTGAAGCAGCTGATATCTTTAGTTATGCTATCAGAGTGAATTTCAAAAAAAGATACTTATCAACCTAAAAGAAAGAAACACACTTAAGAGTCATCCAGTGACTCTTTGAAATCATTCAAACTTTCTTGTCTGTATTATCGTTTGAAATTTACAATGAATCTACACTCGATGAAACAGATTCATGTGATGATTTCTCAGAAGATGAATCTCAGTAAGGTGAAGATAGTGAAGGGACAAAATCTGAAGAAGAAATAGAAGACAATGATAAATAAACAAGCTCAACAGCAGAAGGAGGAGAAGAAGAAAAATGAACACACAAATTTTCTCTTCATTATATGAAACAAGTATTAGATTATTATGATAAAGTCAATCAGGACCGGAAAGCGAAAACATAGCTGGAAAAGTGTTAACCCTTTAACGAGTGAATTTTGGATGATCAAGTTTCTATTGGAAGTAACAGTTAATGATAACCTTCTTCAAAATCCCTCGTGGAAGAAACAGATAAACACTGTTACTTGATCTTGAATAGTCATAAATTAATTTCATGNGAGTTCTTTGTTCCGTAACATGATGCTTCTTGTTAAAACATTCAAGACAAAAAAACTTAATCAAAGTCAGCACCTAAAGTTTTTACTTTCTTTGCTGCTGTATAGCTCGATTCTCTTGATTTTTACTTCCTGGCTTGTTCATAGCAACCAGTTCAGCGTCTGCGAACGTTGTGCGCAGATCCTTTTATTTCCTCTAACCTCTGGCCAGAGAGTTTCCGCTTCATTTGTCCTAGGAAAAAACAGGAAAAAATTTCGCTCTGACTCATGATACGTCATAATATGAGGAAGATAACGGTGAATCATCTGTAGACGATAGTGAAAATGTTGCTCCGTGTATTTATTAGAAGTTAGGTATTGACAAGAATAGGTATTTCGAAGACTTTCCCCAAGAAAACTGAATCGTGGTGAATGTGTTAATATACGAAAAAAATGTCAGTAAACAACGCTTTAGTAAATTAATAATTATAAATATTTCTAATTTTCAAATTCAATCAAAATAATCATCATTTGTTCTCTATTACACAGAATATGAACTTTTATTTTGATTCAATAAATGAATTCTTCATAGATGGATGTAGGTGTGGATGTGGAGTGGCTGTGAATCCTGTATTCAACCACACCCACCTAAACCCACACCCTCAATGCGCGATCACATTCATCTAAATATTAAACAATAAAAACTAGGAGAATAATAATCAACAAACATAAATAACATTTGAATCTTGTTTTTCTTTTCTTCTATTGAATAAAAGTATCATAAAAACCAAAGATTTTTCTCTTTTAGTTTTTGAAGAAATTCCTGCGTAAGCTTTGATGTAGTTTTGTACATTTTAGTCATACTATCACCTAAACGGGTATACCGCTGATTAAGAGCAATGTCTAACGATTGAAAGCGTCAAAAGCAATGATAATTTCAACGATCAAACAATTTTTGGCTTTGAGAAGTCCAAAACTTATTAATCATGTCAAAAAAAGTTCTTTTTTTTATATTATAAATAATTTAATCACATCTAATTTATTATATGAATGCATGAACTTATTCGTTATTATCAATCTAAACGGAGTTTGTTGTTATTGATCGACCGTTCTATCGAGTTAGGAGAGAAATTGGTTAAAAATGTACACTTGTTCTGGCACGAATATATCATAATGCAAAATTTTTCTGTAAGGGAAAATTCAATTAGATTATGAATAGTTTCATTTACGTCCACTGTTGATCCCCAAATGTTGTAATTCATTAGAAAATTAGTTATCAATAGAGAATCACAACATTCATGAAGGACTGGATACTAGTGTAGCCAGTTTCAGTGTTTTCACGTCAACGAGCAAAGCCCTAATATAGAGTTTAACAATTCAAGAAGTTAATATAGGTTTCAACTTTGATCAACTGGTTTCACTATTTTCATGCCGTTTTTATTTCAATAGACTTCACAACATACAATAACACCTATACAATTAATGTAAATGTATACAACGCTGCTTTTTTTCTTTCTGTCTCGTTTAGCAACGAAATTTGTTTGTTCTTTCAAGATGTACACATGAAAAAAAAACAGACTGGCTGCTTTTGTTTTTGTATTCCATACATTTTCTCGATATAGTTAGTTTTTAAAATTTGAAAGAAATGATATGAGTCATTAATTTTGTGAAGTTGAACAAGAATTATCATGGATACAGAACAAGATTCAATTACGATTTGGTTTGATGGAATGCTTCCTAATGACTCTGCATCAACAACAATAACAATAAAACGTGCGGTTCATTTTGCTCTGTGTAAAGTTGATCCATACTTAAGAACTTTTCGTGATTTAGACAAGTGTATTGATTATATTTTAAATATAAATGAAAATCAAAACAAAATAATTCTTGTCATCTGAAAAAATGAATCATCTTCACATCCTGAAAATCTTGCTGAACGTTGTGAAGAATTTGCAATTATTGATTCAATTTATATTTTATGTTTAAATATCGCAGATATATCATCTTTCGAAAGATTTTCTAAAGTACGTTGTGTTCATACTGATTTAAATTTGCTATGCAATGAACTAAATCAAATATCAACTATAAGACGTCAACGTCACCAACGACCGACAGTTGATGATTTTAATATTTATTCATTAAGTTGCCTGTCCGATTCTTCAACGTCTACTGTTTCTTCCACACAATCTTTGTTATTATCGAACAATAATACTCAACGACAAGAAGCTGAGTATATGTATTCACTGTTGTTACGAGGCATTTTAATTCGTGCTGATTCAACAGAAGAAGAAATGATTTCATTTTTTCGTCATATATGTAACAATAATGCAGATTTAGAAATAATTGAACAATTCGAAACCTATTATGAGGCAAACAATGCCATTTTTTGGTATACACGTGATACATTTCTCTATCGAATATTAAACAAAGCATGGAGAGAAGAAGATGTTAAAACTTTATATTCGATGCGATATTTTATTAAAGATATTCATTTACAATTACTTGAAAAACATATTTTACAACAGCGGGCATTAAAAGATACTCCAACAAATGATATCATTTATCGAGGACAACTTATGAAAACTGAAGAATTTAACAGAAAAATACGACATAATGTTGGAGGTCTCTTTTCAGTTGTTAGCTTTTTTTCAACTACAATGGACGAAAATCTGGCTAGTGTTTATGCTGGTAATAGTGAAAATAATCATCAGCATCTCGATGTAGAACATGTTTTATTTCAAATCAAAATTGATAAAAATGTCTATAGATTTTCTTACGCTAATATTTCCAAACAAAGTGCTTTTGAGAAAGGAGAAAATGAAATATTATTTAATATTGGAGCAATTTTTCGAATTGAATCAATAAATCAGGATGATCGAAAAGTTTGGATCGTTCATTTAAAATTAACTGATGATGAGGATAGAGAATTAAAGAAACGAATTGGTTGTCTCGAAACTCAAATACTTACACCTTATCCACAATTAAACTTAGGAAGATTAATGGTTGAAATGGGTAATTATAGTGCTGCTGAAGAATATTATCTTTCATTATTTGAAAATAAAAACATGATTAAAGATTTAGCATATCTTGCAGGTATCTATAATGAACTTGGACAGATTTACCAACAAACTGGTGAGAAGATAAAAGCTATTGAATGCTTTTCAAAAACAATTAATGTCGAACTTGAACATTTACTTCCAACTCATAGAAATTTAGCAAGACTTTATTGTCGTCTTGGAAAAATTCATCATGAACGAGGTGATTATAAAGCAGCTTTAATAAACTATCATGAAGCGCTCGATATTGAACTAAATCAGGATAGACCAGAGGAAATCACACTTGCCAAATACTACCATGCCATTGGTGAAGTATATTATGTACAAGGTCGTTATACAGACGCTTTAATAGCGTTTGAGAAATGTCTCACTATGCAATTGAAGATTTTACCTAAAGATTATTCCGATCTAGCAACAACATACACTAACATCGGACTAATTCACTATAGACAATTTCATTACGATGCAGCATTAGATTTTTTTAAGAAAACACTTTCGATACAATTAACTTTGCATCCTTCACAATGTCCTTGGTTAAGTAAAAGCTATGGAAATATAGCTTGGACATTGTATCAGCAGGATAAATTCATAGAAGCATTGAATTACATGAAAAAAGCATATGAAATTGCTGTAAACAATTTTTCAGTTGAACATGAACATTCAAAACAATGTCAGCAATGGATTGTTGAATTAGAAGAAAATCTAGCACGGACTACTCAAGAGAGAAAATGAATTTGTATGTGTATGTAGTTGTGTCGATGTTTTTCTTTCTTTATACACCCACACCTATACACTATACATCGTTTCACTTTTTATATACACAATCAAGATTTTATTTCCTGAATTATAATTCAATAAATTAAACCATTCAAAAATCTAACATAGGAATACAAAATGATGAATTTTCATGATTACAACAAAATAAATATCATTATATGTTGAGTTTTAAAAGAATTATTTTGTTAAAAGTGTGAGTCGTTGACTTCATACGCAAAACTAACATTGTAGAATGACTTCTTGTATATTAGCGACACTTATCGAATAACATGACTATTGACTGTTGATTGCAAAAGCAATTGACGAAATATGATCACTCTAGTGGATGTTTTGTATCGTACGTTGTGTAAAGAAATTGAAGAAAATGAAAGCACAAGTTATTACAAAATGACTTGCTGGCCAAGGCAAATATGACTCATTCAAAAAGCTAAATATATAATCACGTGCTGCACGCACAATATAGAACATCGTTGACAACCATTCAAAAAACTGATGTGGCTGTCGTGAGTAATTTCATCACAATAATGTGAAACATAGAAGCAAAAAATTTTAAAAAATTTATTTTCTTTTTTCTTTTTCATTTGCATGAAGGAATAATGTAGGAAACATATTATTAAAAGAAAAGCTAATAATAAATAGCTAGGATTTCGAATGTTTTCAAAAATTTTTTGATAAAACACAATCTTCCATTTAATCGAAAAAAAAACGATTAGTTATGATGAGTGTACTAATATCACTTTCTTTCGTTCATCATTTTTTTGTATTTCAGATTTATTAATTATAGTATATCTAACTATAGGTACTCATTTTTTCTGTTGAAAAATTATTAAAATTTTCAAATGGTACAGTTATTAAACAAAAATAAAAACTTCAATTTCTTAGTTTTGTTTATAGGTGAACATGACGAGTGAGGAAGTTCATTGTATGATGAACAAAACAAGAAATATTCGAAATGTAACCATTCTCGCTCAGACGAATGATGAAGAATCAACATTAATGAATTTGCTTGTGAACAAAGCTGGTATTATTATTTCGCAGAAAACTAATGAAATGCATTTGACTGATAGTGAAACAAATGAACTCGAACAACCTACTCGAATTAAACCAGCGTAATTTCAAAATACCAAACTTTTCTTTAATATTTTTTTTTCCATGGAAACATTTCATATTTAGAGTCGTTTCAGTTTATTATGAATTATCCGCTAAATATTTAGAATTCGTTAATCACGAACCTGAACTCGATTCATCTAAATTTTTAATTAATCTTATTGATTCAATGATTCATAGTAATACTTCATCAATATCTGCTCCTTGTTTATCGCTTGCCGATGGCATTCTCATCGTTATCGATTGTATTTCAGGTAAAAAAGCAATACTTACACTTTGTTTTATTAGAAATACTAGTTTTTGATTCTTAGGTGTCTGCTTAATGACTGAAACAATTCTTCGTCAAGCTATTCGTCAGCGTATAAAACCAATTTTATTTTTTAATAACATGGATTGTGCTTTGCTCGATTTAAAATATGAACCTGAAGATATTTTTCAACAATTTCAAAATATTCTCGAAAAAATCAATACCATCATCACTACTTATGGTGATGACAATAACCATATAAATGATTTTATAGTAAAAAATTCAACTTTCTTCTTTTAATACAAACTATATTGATTATGAATTGCTTAATAATACATTTAGGAGTCTATGGGCTTTTTTATTTCAAACTGAATTCTAAAATCAAAAAAACCACACCAATTTCTTCCGAATCAAACTTTTCTCGCTTGATACTGCGTAGTCTCACTAAAAACCCTTAGTCCCCCCTAGTCCTGCAAAGTCCCCCTTAGTCCCCCCCACAAAAAGCTTAGTCCCCGCTTAGTCCCCTGTTCAGGGGACTAAAGCCTATAGTACACAAAACCACAAGCACACCCTCACCCTCCCTCGCGCGCCCACACCCGCACCATGGGTGTGGGTGTGTGTGTGGGTCCCAGACCAACACCCACACCCCCAGTCACCCACCCCCCTCACTCCTAGACTCACGTTTCAGTTTGAAATAAAGTATTATTTTTATTTGATAAATTCAGACTGAAATTAAATAGCCCATTGTATGACATTTAGATAGTTATTGTTTCGTTTAGATTGATCCAACAAAAAATGCTGTTATTTTCGGTTCTATTCTTCATGGTTGGGCTTTTACAATAAAACAATTCGTCGATATTTATGCATCAAAATATGGCATTGAAAAGGATAAGTTAATGGAACAATTATGGGGTGATCATTTTTTCTCACCGATGACAAAGAAATGGTCAACAATTCAAGAAAAAGGTAAATTATATATTTTCAACACTATATAGAAATAAATTCATTTCTAATAAAAAATTAGGTTTTGTTCGAGGTTTTTGTCAATTTGTTCTTAATCCTATTAGCCAATTGTTCAAAGCTATAATGGATTCAAGAAAAGATGAATTTAAAAAATTATTTGAAGAATTAAATATAGAATTACAAGATGAATTGAGTAAAGATGGTATATTATTACTAAAACTTGTTATGAAAAAATGGTTACCTGTTGATGATATTCTACTTACGACGATGGTTATTCATTTACCATCACCACTTCTTGCACAAAAATATCGAACTGAACTTTTTTATACAGGTATATTTAAGAAAAATTTAATAATCTTCTAAGAGAGGCGAGTAACAAAATGAATAAATGTTTAGGTCCGCATGGTGATGATGTATTTTTGAGTATTCAATCATGTGATTTAAACGGTCCATTAATGATTTACATTTCAAAAATAATACCGACATTGAATAAATCTCATTACTATGCATTTGGTCGTATTTTTTCGGGTATTGTTAAGTCAAATGAACATGTTCGTATATTGGGTTCTAATTATCAACCAGGAAAAAGAGTAGATCTCTATATTAAAAATATTCAACAGTATAATATATGAACTATTCATTAAACATGAATAGTTGATTATAAAAGAATTTTTCACGAGAATTATATGATCTTGATTTAGAATAGTTGTGATCATGGGTCAATCTATTCAACCAATTGATAATTTATCATGTGGAAATATCTGTGGTCTCATCGGTATTCATCAATATTTAGTTAGAACTGGTACAATTACAACATCTGAGCAAGCACAAAGCATTTGTGTTAGTAGTCAAGTTGCTGATTTCAGTGAAAAAGTTTCTTTTGTTGAAATATTTTAGATGTTAAAAACAAACATCAATCCTATTGTATATGTTGCTGTTGAACCAACTAATCCAGCTGATCTACCAAAATTAGTCGAAGGTATGAAACGTTTAGTTCAAGTAGATCCTCTTGTTCAAGTAAAAATGATTACTTTTTTTTCAAATAGAATTCTCTATGAAATTATTTTAGTGCTATACTGAACCGTCTGGTGAACATATTATAGCCTGTGTTGATGAACTACATTTGAAAAATTGCTTAGAAGATTTAGAAAGAAATTATGCTTGTATTCCAATTAAAGTTTCTGATCCTGTCACATCGTATCTTGAAACTGTATCAAAAGAATCTGACAGAATATGTCTAGCGAAATCTCCTAATAAACACAATCGAATCTATTTAAAAGCTCAGCCTATGCCTAATGGTATGAATATATGCATTTATGTTATCGTTAGATTTCGAGAATATTCTTAGTCAATTAATATTTTAGGTTTACCAGAAGATATTGAAAATGGACAAATAACATCAAATCAAGAAATAAAAGCCCGTGCACGTTATTTATATGATAAATATGATTATGATATATATGAAGCACGTAAAATTTGGTGTTTTGGACCAGAGAAAACTGGACCGAACTTTTTAATCGATTCTACTTTCGGAATACAATATCTCAATGAAATAAAAGATTATTGCGTTAGTGCATTTCAATGGGCTACAAAAGAAGGTGTACTCGTTGAAGAAAATGTTCGAGGTGTTCGTTTCGATATTCATGATTGTAACGACAAACTGGATCGAGTAGCTTGTGCCACTCTTGGCAATGATGTTTATTAGCTACTTTACATATCCAGAGTGTATCCATTGCATATTCAACACACACTTATATATGATAGAGAAACAGAGAGAGACAACAATAGAGAGAGAAAGAGGAAAGAGAAAAGAGGAAGAGCAGCGAGCCGTAACGCATGTATCGGCACA